TGTTTGATCTCTAACTTCGCCTTGACATACTAGCCGAGATGTCAATATCTAGGCTGAGGTGTCCATCACCAAGGCCAAGATGTGAATTATCTGGGCCGAGATGTTACCTTTACACCCAAGTGATCTTGCCCTGGAGAGGTATGACCAAGACCGAGGTGTGGCACATCTAGGCCAAGGTGTGGTACAGCTTAGTCAAGTGTTGTCCTTCCTGGCCGAGGTCATTGTTCTCTGCTTGCCGATGTCTTGTTCTTAGCCGAGATCATTACTCGCCAGAGTGCCCGTGCCGTCTTGCTTGTTGAACACACTTTGTCATAGTTTTGTCTTGTCACTCAGTCACCTTTCTGTGTAGCACCAACCAACCGCTGCCACGTGCCTCTGTAGAGGGTTAAGTCAGCCAGCAGACTTAGAAATGTATCATTTGCTATACATTTTTGTTGGTGAAGTAGCCGAGATCATTACTCGCCAGAGTGCCCATGCCGTCTTGCTTGTTGAACACACTTTGTCATAGTTTTGTCTTGTCACTCAGTCACCTTTCTGTGTAGCACCAACCAACCGCTGCCATGTACCTCTGTAGAGGGTTAAGTCAGCCAGCAGACTTAGAAATGTATCATTTGCTATACATTTTTGTTGGTGAAGAGAGAAGCTCTAGAAGAAGTTTAGAGTGAGAGCGTGAGTTTCGAGATTGATTCCTAGAGATCAAACCATTAGATTCGCGTATTGAGGTTAGATTCTTGATCTACTCTTGTCATTCTTGTTGATCATCTAGCTGCATTGCAAGATCAAACCCGTTTTGCATGGCATGCATCGATTTAAAGTTGGTTTCAGAAAGAGAAAAATGGTGTCCATGTGTTCTTGAAAGAAAAGCCTTGTTTGATCTGAAACCTTGCATTAAGCTTCGTGTTTTTGTGTTTGTCCTCATTAGATCCTCGAATGTGGGTACCCAGGTCCATGTTTTTGAACTCATAGCATGAAATCTCAGATTTTGTAATAGCAAATCACGATCTTTGCATTCATCCCCCTCATGTGCATATTCTTCATGTTCTTCAAGAAAGGGGAAACCCAGACTTTTCCCGACTTCACTCCTTTGAATGTGACCATCGGGGCCACACCTCGGCCAGAGGATGTAGAACCTCGGCCTAGACCTGGTAGTCGCCCAGCCTGCCTTTCCGAAATAAAGAATTGTGTTTTTCTTGATTTGACTTAGTCTCGGGGAATACCGAGATCATTTGCATACATGTGTAACTTGCTTGAAAGTGCATCCAATAGACTTTGCCATGTGTTTGTAGGGTTTGGACTTGCCTCGACCCCGACGTTTGAAGAACTAAGTGAGTGGTATTTTTAATAAAGCTATGTTATAATGCTTTCCTAGGCTTCAGTAGGGTGTGCAGTCCTTCGCACTATTTTGAACGGCAAGGTGGAAGTATACCATACCGAAAGCAGGTTGTCTTCAAGGCTGTGAAGACGGTCGAAGAGAATGTACGGATATACTACAGAACTACGCATGGAGGGGTGAATTGTAATGGGATCATCAAATTCAGAAAATCGATGGTGTATTCGTTCCCTTGTTTGAGGTTGAGTGGGTATGGGCCAAGCATCCCAGCTAGTATTTTTAGAAGATGATGAAACAACCTCATCCTAATGATGTTAGTAAGCATCCTTTGAAACTTGACAGATTTGGAAGATGGACTTGGTTCATTCCTTGACTTGCACTATTATGTTATGTATTGTTTGATAAAGATCTTGAATACCAGTCATGCAAACCCCTTTATTTCTTATACCATTCACTGAGTATCCAAGCTCACCCTCTCTATATATATGTAGGTGATGAGCAGGAAGGCGGTGACGCCTAGGTGTGACTCGCAGGCTTGTTTTGGGTTTTTGTCACGTCGGCTTATTTGTATACATGTCGGCAGTCTTGAAAATTATACTTCTCAGCTTATAATGTCTGCAATTTACACATGTCGGCTGGAGAAGCCTTTTGATCAAGATGTAAAATGTATTTTGTACTTTATTGTATTTGTATCCAAGTTGTAATACTATGTAAGGTTGTATGCCATTCCATGTAACTTACGCACTGGTCTTATGGATCACTTGTATTTTTAAATTAATGCTTCCGCACTTGTGAGCCCCATATATATATATTTGTACTCTGATTGTGTGTGAATTTTGAGTGTTGGCCTTCGGTAATCTCGGATTACTGGCCATCATGGCACTAAACTACTAGGGGCGGTTTGGGGTCGTGACAGACTAGTAGTTATATTTTTGGATATACTACTAGTTATATTTTTGGATGGGTGTGTATAGAAAATATTTGGCAGACAACTAGTTATATTTTTGGGTTGATGTACATGGATAAAAATTTAAAACATAATAACAAGTAGTTGTTATGTTTTAAATTTTTATGGTAGATGAAATATGTAATTTGGAATTATTTGTGGATGTAAACTTATAATAGCTGCTGACTTTTATTAAACAGGTTCAGAAATGGTTGATATATGTATTTTGTTGAATGTTGATGATTCAATTTCTTTGTTGGTTTGAATGATTTTTACAAATTACAGATTATATTGAATAAATTGGATGGATTATTATAAAGTACAGGTTTATTTTGTTGGATGTTGGCGACCAAAATTTGGTTTTGTTTTTATAGACCAATTGATTAGTCGGGAAAGATAAGTTATACTTTTGCCGACTAAATAAAGTAGTTGGCGTATCACAAAGCACATTTGGCGACTAAATAATTAGTCGTTAAAATTAATAATTTTGGCAACCAAAGGATTTGGTCGCGAATAGGTCTATTGTTGACTAAGGTTTTAGTTGCACAAACATTTCGTTTGGCAACAAACATGTTTGGTCGTGGAATGTGACAATTGGCGACTAATTATTTTGGTCGTAGAATGTGACAATTGGCAACCAAAATTTTTGGTCGTGAAATGTCACAATTGGCGACCAAAAATTTTGGTTGCAGAATGTTACAATCGGCGACCAAAATTTTTGGTCATGAAATGTCACAATTGGCGACCAAAAATTTTGGTCGCAGAATGTTACAATTGGCGACCAAAAATTTTGGTCGTGAAATGTCACAATTGGCGACCAAACTAAGAGGTTGCAGAATGTCACAATTGGCGACCAAAAAATTTTGTCGTGAAATGTCACAATTGGCGACCAAAAAGAGGTTGGTCGTGGAATATGACAATTGGCGACTAAGATATTTGGTCGGTAAAAGGTGACTTTTCGCGACCAAAGTGTTTTAGCGACTAAATTAATTAGTCGCGGTAATGATATATTTAGCAATCAAAAATTTTGTCGGCAAATCCAACTTTTCCGGACCAACCAAAATTTTGGTCGCGAATTACTTTTGCCGACCCTCAATTGGCGACCAAAAGTAGCGACCAAAAAATTGGTTGCGGATAACTTTTGCCGACTAAAAATAGACTTTTAGCGACCAATTTTTTTGTTGCCAAAAGTGTTAATTCTTGTAGTGATATGTGGTTGTGTACGTGATTTGAGGCTACATGACCTAGTAAGGGAGCTATTTAGAAACTATGGCGGATGCTGAGATGGCACTACATCATCAGATACTAGCTAGGTCAAAGCAATGATGGCCTTGGGAAAAGAAAGAGTGAGGAGTTGTTTTAGAGGTCTAGAAGTGAATAACCAAAAAGCAAGAGATGGAGATGGTTAGATCTTCTTTATGCATGAAGATTGAGGCAATATTTATAAGGCTTGGGTTATATAGGCCAACTCACCTAGTGGCCTCAATAGTTGGAATGGTGGTCAAGTGTGCTCAGATATGAACAAGTCACTTGTCTTTGTCACACTCTAGAGTTCTCTTCCTGTCGAGATCTCTCCAAGGTCGGTCAAGTGCAGATCCCCCAAACGAGAATAGTAAGAGGCATCTCAACAAATCTTCATTTCCAATATACCAAGTCCAAAATTCCTACGATCTCATGTAGAGTCATCAGGTCTCTTGGGTGCCCCGTAACCATGGCACCAAGCCCAAAGTTGTCCTGAGGCTCTTCTATCTGACGTAGAATGACATGAGTGTATTAGGGTGACTGGAAAACAAGTGTAGAATCATATAAGAGATGGAAACACGACTTGCCCAAGGGGACCCAAGTGTGATGGCTTAAGTGGATACAAGCACACCCAGGTGGACAGTCCTCTTAATCTTGGAAGGAAGGCCAAGTGCACCTGCAAGGCTCCCTGGAGATAGCCTCTATCAATTTTAATACAAGAGATGCTACATATGCGGTGGGTAGAGGTTTTGGGATAAAGGGATCCCATACTCAATACAACTGTCATGGTGAAGCTATGAAGTACATGCAGATGTGATGATTACCTAAGGTCAGTCAAGTGCTTTCTGTGTTTATGAGCAAAACAGTTGAGTTCTTATTGTTTAGGAACCACTTTCTAGAAAAATGGTTTCTTGCCTAGGTGACCATTACCTTTGGGGTCTTCGGATAATATACACTGCCTGCTATTTTCATAATTCAAAATTTTCAGCCATGATCAACCCTTTTCATATAGAATAGCATTTCTATGTTGAATGTTCACATTGATTAAAAGCATAGGTTGTTTAAATTAATAAAAACATTTAAAAGTGGATGACAAGTTAAAATCACAAATCATAGGGCATAGAAATAATGTGAAAGCAATGCTAATTAATCTGGACTACACACTCAATAGTGAATGCTTGCCTTACAAAATCATATTGATATAGAAGCATGAAACTCAAGCCTTGTATCTTATTGTCAATGTTTCAAAAGATGAGTTACAATTACTAATCTAGAGTACATATCACTACTACCAATAAGGAATAAAGAGACATCACACAAACAACAAATTGGCCACGTATGACATGGGAATACAAAAACACCAAAATGATGTCAAACCCAAACAGGGGGAAAAAAATACTTGAATTATGTCAAAAACCTTAAGTTTGATATTGGGAAATTTACACACGCACACATATATAACACAAATTGTAGGTAGCACAACTAACGACATTTAGAAGGAGCAAATGTTGCATCTGTGCTCACCTTAGTAATGAAATCAAGTTCATCAAATATGATGATGTGTAGGTCACTTTTAGCTCCTCAAAGAAAAGATTAAATGATCTCACTATAAAAGCACAATGAAGCGAATTTAAAATGAACATATGTATGCATTTTTACCAAAAAAAATTTCATCCTCAATGGCTGCTTTAAAGAGTGACCTTATTTTCCTCTCCGATACACCTTGGAATGCATGTAACACATCCGGTCCATTTATAATCTGCATGAACAGGAGGAAAAAAAGAAGTGTCAAAATAAGATTAAAAAAAGTGGAGAGAGAGAAAGAGAGAGAGAGAGACCAGGGGCTCTTTTGCATTTAGAAATTTGCAAATGCTTCGTGCTATCAAGGTTTTTCCAGAACTTGGTGGCCCATATAGAAGTATTCCTCTTACATGCTTCAAATTCAGCCTAGCACAAGAAAGTCAATAGTTAATAACCTATAGCAACTAGATTTGGGGAAGGGGCCCATGTATCATATGTTAAATAGGCTGGCCATCAAAAAAAGGGAAGCCCACCAAGACTAGTTCAAATTCCCGCAAGCATATGGAAGCAGATTTGGTCATGAAAGGACCCTACAAGCTTGAGATGTCCCCATGAAAATGAGTCTTGGGTATATTTCCAGTGTGTAACAATCTAAAGGTAAAAGAGATACCTTTCTATGGATTTTTGCCCCTTTGTGGCAAAGAGGTGGAAACAGTAGACCATGTCATTTTGCACTTTGTCCATATACAAAGAGTGTGGCCTCCATGCCCTTTAGTTCTTACATTTTTTTAGGGACTACTGTCTGTCTTGCAGCTATCCAAATATGGCAAATATCTAAATGGCCTAAGGATGTTCTTCGGAATCTGCTAGTATAGTTGGCAGCAGTAGGTGGCATATTTGGAAGGCATGTGATGCAATACAAGTAGTGTTTGAGGAGCGAGCTAGAGAGTTCAAATTACATAAATCCTAACCCGACTGTTCGACCTATTTATCCTATTAGTTTATATTTAAAGAAAATTTAGACTAAAATTACCCTCCAAAAAGGGAATGAGTTTGTAATTACTACCACAAGAAAGTTGCCCGGTCATCACTTACTGTTATCTATTCTTGGATTCTTGGGGGAATTCACAACATTTTTTTTCTAGTGTTCTTTTCTGTTGATTAAGAGGTGACCTCCTTATTTATCCAAAAAAAAAAAAAGAAGAAGAGGTGACCTCGTTCTTTTCATTCATTTGTGGGAATTTGATAATTTATCACCTTTGCATCCTAATAACACTTCATTGCAGCTATTATCAAATCCTTCACCTCTATCTTTTATACCCAACAACTTCAACCTATTTTACTACACTTTGTTGTACTTTTCAGTAATAAACTTGCTATAATAAATTTAGAAATATTAAAGTAATTATGTTACAAGGTAGTATTCATGTTATTGAGTAATCACAAGACAATAATATATTTAAAGATTATAATGTCTTTTCATTGTAAAAATACCACCACTATGTACGTTAGTTGATGAAAAGATTATGCATTAGAATTAATAAGAATAATTATTTTTTTAATATCAAAATCCTATCAAAGTAAGGGATCCACCTGGGCATTATGGCTTGGAGCTAAAAAATTCCTTTCCATACAAAAAACTAGCAAAAGTTTCACAATAAGTTTCCAGTGGGATATATTGGCCCCATTTGGTGTAGCTGTTAAAACAACTTATAGATTATAGCTTAACAGATTATAGATTATGACTTTAATCGGAAGTTGTTAATCTGTTTGGTGTAGCTGTTGAATTATAGATTTAAATTGCTGAGTAGTGTTTGTTAAATAAGTAGTGAAATAAGTTTTTCAATTAATTTTTATTTTTTATTATTTACTACTTGTCTACATTTCTCATAAAAATAATAATAATAATCTATAGTCCATTTGGGTCTTTTTCTATTTTTAAAAAAATAAAAAATAAAAAATAAAAAAATCTAGGAGTATAACCATAAATTAACATGTTCACAGCAGAAGCTAATAATAATAATATTATTTACTACTTGCCTACATTTCTCATAAAAATAATAATAATAATCTATAGTCCATTTGGGTCTTTTTCTATTTTTAAAAAAATAAAAAATAAAAAAATCTAGGAGTATAACCATAAATTAACATGTTCACAGCAGAAGCTGATAATCAGAAGTAAGGAGTGAACAGCTTTTCAGAATTAACTTTTTTGAATTAAAATAAGCTGTTAGAATCAGAAACTGTGTGAAATAAGTTTAACCAAACAGTCCAAAATAACTTTTTCAAAGCTAAAATCTATAAATTAGCTTTCAAAGGCTGAAACAAACACCCCCATTGAAACTACTCTTTTTCTTTCGCTTATTAGCATACAAAACTATTTTCAAAGCATTTTTAAATATATATATATTAATTTTAAAAAGGTTACGTTGATGTGATTTGGGATATGTATGAAGGTGTGGTAAGCACAATTAGATTGCCTGTTGGAGAGACAAGTAAATTTCCAGTTACTATAAGGTTACACCAAGAATTAACCTTAAGTTCTTATCTTTACGCTTTAGTTATGGATAAGTTGACGCGAAATATTCAGAATGATGTGCCATGGTATATACTTTCTGTAGATAATATTGTGCTAGTGGATGAGATTAGAGAAAGACTTAATACTAAGTTGGAGACTTGGAGAAAGACACTTGAATCTAAAGGATTTAGGATAAGTAGAACTAAGACAGAATATATGGAGTGTAATTTTAGTAACAGTCACAATAGAAGCAAAGGAGAAGTGAAGATTGAGAACCAAAAACTACCTAAGAGTGACCATTTTCGTTATTTAGGATTGATTATCACAACGACTGGGGAGATTGGAGCAGATGTGGTCCGTAGAATTAAGGCAGGGTGGCTTAAGTGGAGGAGTGCGTCAGGAGTCCTGTGCGATAAACGAGTACCCACTAGACTAAAAGGAAAGTTCTATAAAATGGCTATTAAACCAGCGATGTTGTATGGAACGGAATGTTGAGTAACTAAGAAACAACATGTAGATAAGTTGAGTGTTGCTGTGATGAGGATTCTAAGGTGGATGTATGGCAAGACTAGAAAAGACAAAGTTAGGAGTAGTACCGATTGAAGATAAGTTGAGAGAGAATAGATTTATATACAAGAGAGACCAACAGAGGCATTAGTGAAGAGATGTGATACAATGACAGTAGATGGTAGTGTTAGGGAAAGGGTAGACCTAGATTGACGTGGATTAGTGTAGTAAATAGATATATAAATCTCCTTAATTTGACTAACAAAATGACCTTGGATAGAGTCGAGCGAAGACGAATAATTCATACAACCGATCCCATTTGATGGAACTTAAGACTTGGATTGGTTTGGTTTGGTTTTCACACATCTCTATACTCCTATACATATACCGAGATTATTGACAGCTCAAAAGGTGTTAGCATTTTCCTTGTCGAAAATATGTAGTCATTTGAATGAATAGCTAAATTACCAAAGGAAGCAACTATACTGTAAGAGCCTGTTTGATTGGACAGATTATAACATAGGATTGAGATTATTAATCCATGCAACTCACATTGCATTGTTTGGTTGCGATTTTTGTTATCTGGACGATGAACACTTTATCCAATAAAATTGACAGATTAATCCAACAACTAATAATGCAAAAATAAGAAGGAAGTATTTATCTCAATAATTCAGCAAAATAACCAATCTTACAATAAATCTAAATACCTCTTTGCTACAAAAGGAGGAACCATCCACGAGCCGAATGCAAACTGCAGTATTCTAGCAAATTGGGATGTCATGCCTCCAATACCAAGTGATATCAGTACTTCTTCCAGTGATTCCATATTGAAGCCTTCCCTAAATATGTTTTTACATGTTTCAGCTCCACGGATTAGGGTGCCCTGTGATCAACCATGCCAACAACTTTGAATAATTCTTACTGTTCACAAAAACATATATACATATGGACTCTCTATATAGGTAGGTGTGTGCATCTATTACAGATCTATCTGTACTCGGAGCTTCTGAAGACATGGCCACCGATGATGAGCCGAGCACTAGGCGGGCACACTGTTGAAACTCAGATCAGACCGTTGGAACGAACAAAGACCTACATCCAGTGGCCTACCGTCCGATGTCATGAAGAGAGGTGGTTCCGGCCATGGGGCTCGTTGAAGAGAAAGAGAGAGAGAGAGAGAGAGAGTGAGAGAAAGAGAGAAAGAGAGACATGAATAAAGTAGAGCAGGGAAGGTAAAACTATCATATTTACGTGGCATAAATACAAAATTCAAAATAAATAAAATTGACGTAAACTTGGACTGTTCAATGGGTGGACTCGAGTGTGTTGGATCGTGACATCTATTATGAGTCTTATTTTGATAATTTAAATAGTTTGTTGAACTCGTTAATTAATTTATATTTACAAAAAGTTATGTTGATCGGATATAATTATCCCCTTGATCGGAACAAGTTTTTATCAATAGTAAATATAGTTTTAAAAATAAATTGTTAACAAAAATGTATTCCGATTAACGTGATTTTTTGCAAGTATGAAATATCCAACGAGTTCTACACATTAAATGGTTCTGATTATCGAAACAAGACCTGTGATGAGCAGGGACGGAACTATGAGAAGACTATGGGGGCATGGCCCCCCTGTTTCTATGAACATTATTGTTTGTCATAACACTTTAAATATACACCCACACACATACATATATATATATATATATATATATCATTTTATATATAAAATGGCCCCCAATATAAAAATATATATGTCATTCTTCTTCTATCTTGAATTCTCTTTCTATTTTATATTAAAAAGAAACTTATTCATCCTACTAGAAATTGTTTCTATGGTATTTACATTTTTTTTATGTATATATAATTCATATATCATATATACATACATGTGTGTTTTTGTGTATGTGGTAAAAAAAATATATTTTTCTTTTGGCCCCTCCAATAATGAAATCCTGATTTCGTCCATGGTGATGAGCCTCACGGGCCCAACAATATACTCTGGTCTACACTTTTCCAAGAAAATATTATAACAAAACACAATTAGATATAATTAAAGAATTCATAAGTCATAACTAAAATAATATTATAATTAAAAAAAAAATAGTCCTAACAAAACAGAAGATAGTACAATCAGACATATATAAAATACATTTTTTTTTAAAATTATGTTAAAATTTTCCTAATAATAATATAAGAAATTTGTCACACAACTCTACCTTTAAAATGGTGTATATTAGAATTTTTTTAATAATAACATAAAAAATTGTCACATGACTTTATTACAAAATTATGTAAATTTTTACAAATTTAAGTCACTTTTTGAATTTATAAAAATTTAAATAATTTTATAATAAAATTCATACCATTATACACCGAAACATTTTTCATACAAATAGAGAAATATCCGAGACCAACAAACACAAGAGTTGAGATCCTCTCCTTGGGCTCTCTCCTTACCTCCTTACTTGCAATGATAGAGATGTACCTTGAGTTGATCTAACGGTCCAAATTTCGACGGAAAAAGTAAATTTGAATTTATTTTTTTATTTTTAAATAGTCAAATCTGAATCGTTGGATTAACTTAAAATGTATCTCCGCCATTGCAAGTAAGGAGATAAAGAGAGAGCCCAAATAGAGGATCTCAACTCACAAGTAGTCATTCATTACCAGTGATTGTGGAACTTCAACTATGGCTTTTGTGCGCTTACGGATCATCCCTTGCTTTGAGGTGGTCTGGGATTCGCTCTCACGGAAAGAAACTTCCACAACACTGCAGACATACAACCTTCCTTTATATGCAAATACCGTCCTCTGACATTCAGTAAAAACCAGCACATCCCCAAAGCGCCCCATTTTAAGGTCACTTATCAATCAATTTTACTAATTAAATTTATTAATTTATAAATACTGATGAATAAATTTATTATAAGATATTAATAAATTTATCAATAATTTTTTGGACAAATTATCTACACCTCTTTAAGATTTAACTAAATTATAGATTCTTCCTCGGTTTCAAAAATTACATTCCACCCCATTACAATTAATGCCATTGACGGAGATAGTAAATTGACTAAAATGTTATGTAGAGAAATGATGATATCTGGCTGATATATCATGTCAAGTCAGTCAATAGTTTATCAATACTTGTTTTAGAATTTTTTTTTTAAATTAAAAATTAATTTGATGAAGAAATAAAAAAATTATAAATAATTATCATTTTATATCATTTTATTTTTGAGAGGTTAGAAATAATTTTTACAAATTAAATATATTTTTTCATATTTGTTTGTATTAAATTAGTTTCTATTTTTTCAAAAAAAAATATAAATTTTTTTCTAAACAACAAATCAAATATGGTTCCAAAAACTTAGATAACGTTTGGTTTAGAACTCAAATCATGATTTGAATAAAAAAAAATTCAAAACTTATACCTAAACGTTTTTCAAAATTCTTTACAAAACTCTATTTTCAAAAAAAATTATTTTTTCTTTAAAAAAAATTATTCATTATTTATTTCAATTTTTTTTATTTTTGAAGAATTTCTTTTTTGTTATTTTTTAAGTATTGGCCAAATAATTTGTTATGATTTAGATATATATGGGCAATTCAAAAATTTTTAATTCAGATTGTTCAATGCTTTGAAAAGGTAACAGGGGTAATATCATCCATCAAGATCTATTTTCGTGATGTCAGCATATTTTTGTTAACAATTCCTAATATTTGCTTCGCGGTAGGGGATAAATTGTTATGCAAATATAAACCTTGGAGGATGAGATGTAATTTATGAAACCTAAGGGGGAAATGTGTAATTTCGCTAAACTTCAAGGGGATGTAGATAATTTGTCCTAAGATTTAATAAATTACAAAAATATGACGTATGGATAATTTATCACAATTTGAATTGTATATAAGACCATCTCTTATCATTTATCAATTTGTCCATCAAATTTTATTATGAATTTGAGTAAAAAAACTTAGGTAGTATTTGGTTTAATTTTTAAATTAACTTTTAGATTGAAAAATTTTAAAATATGTTTGGCTTAGGGGTCAGCAGTGGATATACCGATCCGACCAAATCGACCGAACCGAATCGATTCAATCCGCCGTATTTTGGACGGATGTGTGATGACGAGCGGACTGTTACGGATTGATTTTTTCCAATCCGCCTAATTTTGAAGGGATGGCGGATTTGAGGTTCCTTTGGCCGCAACCGAACCGCCCAACCGCAAGCACTCCCAGTAATTTGTAAGACTTTGTGTTTTCAATTTATTTAGATATTCTATTTGTGTTTTCAAAGGAAAAAGAGTTTAAATATTCTGTTAAAAATATTGTGTTGAAAAAGAGTTTTCAACTTGAATATATTTTTTGAATTGAAAAAAATAAATGTATTATTTATCTGTATTTTTTGGTTTTTAAATCGAACTCTAAAAATAAAAAATAAAAAAGATAATAAATGATGGTTGGTTTTTGTTTTCAAAAACAGATATAGATGTAACCATACAGAGGTGTACAATCTCTACTACTGCTCTGTTCATGGTTTTTGTGGTTTGAATTGTTTTTATATTTTAAGAACCACAGATTATAATATTTTATGCAGATGAGACATGCTATGATTGTAATATGTGAATAAGGCATGCAGTGATTGTAATATTCTAAAGTTTCAAACTTTCTTTCTTTGGAAGAGGCATGCAATGCTTGTAAAACTTCTTTAAGGCATTAATTGTAATACTTTTTTTTTTTGAGGAAGTGCGTAAGTTGAATTATGTTGAAAATTTATAAAATTTTAAACCGTTAAACCAATTCGCATCCATCCGCTAATTCGTCAATCCGCTCAATCCACATCCGCCGAATTGACGGACGAATGCGGATTGTTTTTCTCCAATCCGCCAATCTGACGGACGGATGACAGATTGGAGGTTCTGTGGCCGCAACCGACCCACGCTTACCCCTAGTTTGGTTTATCATTTTTCAAAATTATTTTTTTCTCTCTCCTCTCTTCTTCTTCTTCTCCTCTTTTTTTTTTCACATTAATCAATCACTTTTTTTGTCTCTCCTCTCTTGTTCTCTCACATTTTACACATTTATTAATCAAACAATTTTTCTCTACACCCATCTATTCAACTACAAAAAAAAAAAAAAAAAAAAACTACAAATCATTCCAAAAATATTTTCAAAACTCATAAGCAAACAAGTTTTTAATTTTGAAAATCTTTTTAAACACTTATCTTTCAAAATATAATTAAAATTCCAAACTCTTTTTAAAAACTGAACCAAACTAAATAGAGCCTTAATTTGAAGTGAATTATTCCAATCATTTCATCAAATTTTCATTACAATCTTTTTAAAAATTTATCTATTTTCCCAAATTTCACTTTTTATCAAATTTGATTAAAGAAAATTATCTCCAACACTTCATCTTTTTATCAAATTCAAATTTGATAAAAATATTTGATAGTTAATTTGATGAAAAAATGATTCTCTCTTGATATGATGGAAGGATTTGAGACAATTTTTAAGCATTTTTTTAGTACCCAATTTAAATTTGATATAAAAAAAAAAAAGTGAAGATTAGAGATGCTCTAATAATGCATCAACTAATTACTAGTACTTAAAAAAAAAAAATCCCTCAATAAACACCTGATGGTGGAATGTCCTTATAAATTCTCTCCCCAGGGTTGAAGCCATTATCTACACAATAATGAAATTTGATCAGTGATAATTTATTAGAAAGTTTCGCTGCTAAATGTAAATACATTCATATAGAATTGCATACCATTTGAGTTGAACTTGAACTTCTAGGAAGTAATTCTACCATGATTCTCAATACATCCACATCAAACCCATTCAATGGTGGAACAAACCTATAAATCAATCATATAGTACTTTTTAAAATGAAATTGCAGAATTCATGTAAATATATCTATGTAGGCTACGGCATACAAACACAATAGTAGATTGAACTTACACTTTCAAAAGGATGGTATCTCCCAATGAAACATCCAGAGATCTGCAATGCTCTGGATTTAAAGATATGTGGCCCTTTGCAACTTTTTCATCCGCTGTATTCTTTATTAGTTAAGGTATAGCAACAATACTCAAAATTTAAACCAAAAAAACAAAAACAACCAAAATCTCTGTTTTCGATTTTTCACCACAATTTTGAATAAAATTGTTTTTCTATGAGATTAAAAAACAAACAAACGAATAGACCAACAAACAAACCAATCAAGTTAGTCTAATAGCCGTGGAAAAACGCCAAAACTCAACTCTTTCGAGGATATTGAATGGCAAATACCATCGTGCCATTGACAAAAGCAAGGTAGAGCTTCTTTCTTGTATTGAAAGGCCATGAAGGTCCTCGTCGAAGGCTCATAGCAAATTGGTTTAGATCGTCTGGACAACAGTAACTTGAATTGGTGAAACACTCCTCTGTAGTAGTATTCTGTCCAAGAAATTGGACACTACTACTAGAAGCCATGGAGGATGAAGAGGAATGCAAGTGGACTATGTTAGTGTCCTTCCCATTCCCCTTCCCAAATGGAGAACCCCACTCTGCCACTCCACTAACCCCACTAGCTAGTGGAAGGGGTTGGTGGCAACCAACAAGCTCCTTCCTCAATTGTGTATAAATTGAGGTGAGGATGAGGGGTTGGAGATATAGGGTATTACAGTGTGTGTAATCTAAGAGGGCAATGAGCAACAAGTGTGAGAGTGCTATAGAGAGTGTTTGTGAGGTGTGAGTTGTAATCTCCCTCCGGGAAATTCTATGGCGGATAGCTCTCCGTGGACATAGGCAATTGTTGAACCACGTAAATATTCCTGTGTTATTGTGTGTGATTGATTTCTGGTGTCTCACAGTCTCAACAAGTGGTATCTGATCTAAGTCGGTTGCGTTTCGGAAAAATAGAGTGTGTTTCTTCGAAACTGCCAGAAATCAAGTTGCTCAAAATCAGGTTTTGAGCATACCCGGAGCAAGGTCTCGAAGAGAGGAGTTCAAAACTGCAAAGCAGAGCTCCAGAAGCCCTTCCACGCGCCACACACGCCTCCTAAAGAAGGCGCGTGAATCCCAATCACACCACGCGCCTCCACGCGTCGTTGGTCCAGTCGGCGCGTCTGCCCACTCTCAACACGCGCCTCATGTGCGTCTGAAGGAAGAAGACGAGCCACGTGGCAACCCAGTCAGTGCCACATCAGTGCACAGACAGCGCCACGTATCCGCCACGTCCACGACACGTGTCCGCCACGTCCGCACCACGTATCTGCCACGTCAGCGCCACCTGTTTGACACGTCAGTGACACGTGTTAGTGTTCAACCACGTGGCATCCATATCATCACATTCGTTGACCAGTCAACCAGTCGGAGGAATGATTCAGCGATTTGCGGCTAAGGTACACTCGCATATCTGAACTGTCAAAACTGTTTTTGCTTGATCTGAGCCATTCGAAGTCCGTTTCTGACAATCTAATAGTGCTTTCCAACTATTTGAAATATTTCGGACACATCTATATGGTCAGATTTTGCAAATCAGATTTCAAAAATTTGTAGTATTTATTTGGACAATCCGAAGTGCTTTTCCGGCTAATTTAACTAGTCCGGACTCAACAATGAAGCCTATTTTTCAGACAGAGATCATTTTTTGCATAGACAAGTGTTGATGGACGAATCAACGTCGACTTCAGGATCAATGTTCATGTTGACTCCTTCTAGTTATGCAATTTGGAAGTCACAGATGGAAAACACCTTGTATTATAAAGACCTGTTTGACTCTATTTTTATAAAAGGGGTTAAACCAGAAGTAGTGAAGGATGATGACTGGATAAAGATGAACCGCAAGACTATCGATTGTATCAGACAATGGATAGACCACGGTGTGTACCATCATGTCGCTGAGGAGACAGATGCCTATCCTCTATGGACAATGTTAAACGACATGTACCGGTCAAAGATCGCTCGGAACAAAGCCTTGGTGATGAGAAGGCTTGTCAATTTGAAATTGAAGAATGGTATATCTGTCGCCGAGCACACCAGTGAATTCAAGAATCTGGTGAATCAGCTTGCAGCCGTCAAGATGCACTTAGACGATGAAATGCAAGCCGTTCTACTGCTCAATTTTTTACCAGATAACTGGGAGACGTTGGTGGTTTCTCTCAACAACTCTGCACCAGAAGGGAAACTGACCATGAGCATGGTCACAGACGCCATGTACAATGAAAAGACAAGGAGGAAAGACTTGGGTGGAGATCAATCTCATGCCCTCGTCACATAAAATAAAGGTAGAGGCAGAGACAGAGGAAGAAGCAAAAGCAGAGGACGCAGCAGAGGAAGATTTCAAGACAGAGGGAAATCCAAAGAAGGTACGAGCCGGTCGAAGTTCAAGTGTTACCATTGTGGCCAAGAGGGTCACATAAAGAAATATTTGTAACGCCCCAAATTTCATGCCCAAATGACAATACAATAATCATGCCCCTTTAAAGTAAAACTGATAATAAATCTTCATACTAACATTACATGATGTAAATAGTCCTCATGCGATAATACAATTAATTAAGCAACAAATACCCCCAAGGGTTTACAGGTTCCAAGCTGTAGACACCCCATTTTGATCGGCCCTAAGACTTGGGCACTTTCTTTTGATTACCCGATGATGACAATTAGAATATGTTATCTCACAAAATTCTTAGTAAGAAAGATGAAATTTAAGCTTTAATCCCAACCTTCACCCATTTTTTGGCCATATTATTTTAGACCTTAAAACCCACTTTTCAAAATATGTTTTTTAAATGTTTCTACGATGTCCCGAGGCTCCCATTTCGATTAAAATATTTCACTTTTCAGTAAACCGAGTAAGGACAAAGTGAAGATAAATGGAAGGGAGCTGAACTTTTTGAAAAATATTTAAAAACATCTTCTTTATAGGTTTGGAGTTGAAGGAAATAGGAGGGAATGAAAGAAAACTGGTTTAGGAAAAGGATGAGTATCAAATCATTAAGAAGGAAATGAGCAGCCTTCACTAAATTAGGCATTTCTCTTTGCACACTTAGAATTTAAATGTGATACCACCACCATTGGAAATTCGACTTCTGGGGCTTCAATTTAGACCCAAGAATCACCTTAGACCAAGTCCAAATAAGGGAGATAGGCCCATTTGAAATTTGGCTTAAGAGTAGATTTTGTTGACCCAGCCCAAGACAACCTTCACTAAATTAGGCATATCTCTTTGTACACTTGGAATTTAAATGTGAGGCCACCATCATTGGAAAGTAGAATTCTGGGGCTTCAATTTAGACCCAACAACCACCTAAAACCAAATCCAGATGAGGGAGATATGCCCATTTGAAGTTGGGCTTACCAGCAAATTTTGTTGACTCGGCCCAAAATAGCAGCAGCCCATTGTTTGGTTCGGTTAGGACACTCCATTGACCCATTTTCTGACCCAAACATGTCCCAATGCATGTATACTCATCCCCATTACCTAGTGTTTGCTCCATTGAAGATAATGCTCCATTTTTGCTCCCATTAGCTCCATTAGTGTTCCCTTAGCTCCATTACCTTCATTTATGCTCTATCTTGCCTTTCATCATGTCTTCCACCATTTCTCCACTTGCTTAGCCTATAAGTATACATCTGATTGTTGAGAGGAGGAAGAGAATAGATTAAGGAAAGAACATTTGAGCTAGAGAAAAGAGGAAGAAAAGAGAGAAAATTTGAGTTTTTGAGCTAAACACACTTCTATCTTCCATATACACCCTATATCTTCCATACAAACTGAAATTCCATCTTTTCTACATCCAAAACTCCACCAAAAATTCCGAAATACTTGAATTTCAGTAGCTTTGAGCAAGAGGAAGAGTGGGTGTTGGTAAAAGTGAGCAAAAATAAGAGAGACAATCACTTTTTCACTACATACACCTCCAAGCCATCATTCTAGCAAGAATTCCAAGCTTTCAAATTGAGGATTGAGAACATAATTCATACACTTGAGGGTGATCAAGAGTAAGTTTGGAAATCAAGAAGTTCAATCTTTCTTTGGAAGGTAAATTTCTAATCTTTCATTTTCTTATATTTCCTATCTCATATTTATTTTCTTGCTTCTCAATTCATAGTGTTTTGTTATAATTTTCATACTTTATATTTCATAGGTTGTTGTTGTGATCCAAGTGGTTTATTTAGCTCATAATAATAATAATAGCAGATTTGGGTTTTGCTTTATCCTTGGGTTTAATCTTTGACTTGGGCCTGGAAGAACTTGAAGATGGGCTTCCAAGGTTGACTGGAGGAAGTGGGCTTCCTTGAGTGACTGAAGCAGGTGGGATCTGCAGAGCTTTAACCATGGCAGGGGTAGGAGCATGGATGTTAATCGGGAACTCAGTTTGAACAATTTCAACAATACAGGAAACTTTGAAATTATCCCACTATTTAACCATATGTTGCCGGTAAATAACATCATCAAAAATACCATATTGCCATTTGAATATCCAAGGGATTTTGTATTTGGATATAAAAATAAGCAATTTAGGCAATTTCCTTTGTTGTAGAGTGAATGAGAAAACAGTTGAAAAATAGTTAATCTGCTCAATCAGAATAGATGGGAAGATATCTGAAATGGCGCCATATTGAGTCCACCATCGCAGAAACCAAGTAGGTAATTCTGATTTGAACTTTTGATCAAACTGGAGAAACCAAGAGTGACTATTGGTTTCATTTTGATATAAAAATACTTTGAACCAGGCATCAATATAGTCATAATAACTATACTGAAGAGAGTGATTAGGTAAATTGCGAAGTTGATAAGGAGAACCCCATTCAACCAAGGAAACAATATTGTGAATGTAAAAGGAATGGTAAACAACTTTACTAGTATAAGTGCGATCATAAATAGGTTTAATTACAATTGACTGATGGTTGAACAGGATGTCTTTATAAAAGGTGATGGTCTTTTCTGGATGGAGAGGAACAAAATTCTATCTAGGAGGAAAGTAAGATTTAACCAGATCATGAACAGAATGACTCTTTGGGTGACTAGGTTCTTTTAAAAAGAGATTAGTAGTGGTAGATTTAACATAACTAGATTGAGCTGATTTAAAAGGGTTTGGAGGATATGGAGTGACTGTTTGACTAGATGAAGCAAAAGAATCAGTAGCCACAGCAGATGTGTAACTAGGTTTAGGAATATTACCAAGAATTTGGTAACGGTTAACCATTTCAATAGGATGGTATTGAGTTACTAACTCCAATGGAAGAGGAACAAAAGGTTGACTAGATGAGACCAGGGCTTTGGAAGGAGGCCGTGCGTGAGACATCTGTGTAATAGAAACAAAGATTAGCAACGAAGATTAACAACCACTAAGGAGGTCTAAACAATTTTGATGAAAATCTAAATAATTGTAATAATCAGCAAGTAAATGGCGACGAGCTTGGATTTTATGGTAGTTAATATACTGAGCACGTGGAGTAGTTTTGTGAGCCAATTTTAAACG